ACAAACAATATAAGATTACACTAGATAATTCATCGGCTCTAAGTCACATGTTATATCAATTTTTTTAACATTAAAAAAATATTTAGACTTTGCTTTCGTATTTTTTTAGTAAAAAAATTATTTATAAATTCAAAATTTGATATTTATATTAGATAATATTTCTAAAAAAATATTAAAATGTATGACAGTCTATTAGATTGATTTTGATCAACTTAGATTACCTATAAAATACATAATCTATTCATGAGATCATGATAAACCAATAACAAGTAAATTAAAAAAAAAGATGAAGTTTAATTTCTAATCAACACAATCTTAAAGGAAAAAAATAAAAAAAAATTAATTAAAAAAGAACAAAAAAAAGATTCAAGTGAATATGGGTGAACCTCTCAAACTCATGGTTCAAATCATACACCCCACTAGATTTAATAACGTTTTTTCTGAAATTATTTTTTATTTAATTCTACAACAACAACAAAAAACTAGTAAAATTGAGTATCGACCAAATATCATGATACTCATTTGAGACCAGTTCAAAATTAACCAAATGTTGAATGATAAAATTAAAAAATAAAATTTATCAAATTACTTTATAAATTTAAAAAAAAATTAATAAAAAATCAATCATATGTTGAATGATAAAATTAAAAAAAATCCATAAAAAATCAATAAAAAAACAAAAACAAAACTATCTTTTATTTAACCATGACATAAATGTCTTTAGAGGTTTATAAATTTTATTTTTCAATGCATAGTAAAATTATTTATTTAACCCTTGAATAAAATAATTTAACACCTACTACTCAAGGGTATTTTTGTATGTTTTTTGGAAATATGGTAATTACTTTGGTATCCTTAAATACAAAACCAATTAAACTCTTACCCAAGGATTTTATGTCATTTTACTTTGCTTTTATTGTAAATTTTAAGGATACTAAGGGATATTTTTGTAAATTATTTTTATTAAATATTACTAGAAAAAAAATTATTGGGGTACGTGGACAATCCCCAAGCTATTTTAACAGCACGTGAAAGGTTGTACAACCATTAAATACTATATTCCAGAGCAGCATTTGAAAGGCATTAGTAACCCCGGCCTGATAAGATAGCAATTGTCACACCATTCAGAGTAGTTTGGTGTCAACAACTATTTCTTTCCCTTTTCTTCTCTCTCTCCCCATTTAGATTTTCACATCAACTCTTAAAAATTCAAAAACAACTTTTTAATTTGTTGGTTCTTAGATTTAATCTCTTTTTTATTTTTATTTTTATGATTTTTCTTATCTTGATTCTTATTCTTTTGATTTCTAATTTTTTATTCAGTTTTTAAATTGACTTTGTTTTGTGATTTCAACCTCCTTTGCTTTTTTTCTCCTATCAAATTCAATCCATGTTCTTTTAATTTCTAATTTTTTTTACCATGACAAGTTTTTATTTGCGATCATTTTATAAAATGGTTTTGTTTAATGTTTTCACCATTCTTTTTTTCCATCAATTGCATTCATGTTTTTTGGATTGCATCTTTTTGTTTGTTTTAACAAGTTTTTAAAATTGATATTTTTAAATTGACCCATAATAAATTTCTTGATTAAACCTAAATTCATGGTTCCATTAGTTGCAAGTTTTTAAGATTTGATCAAGTTTATGATGTTTATCTGGGTTTGCTTATTATTTTTTTCAAGTTTTTAAAATCTGGTTCTTATTCTTTTAATTACTGTTTATTTTATTTCAGATTTTTTTTAATTTTTTTATTAAATTGTATCCTCCTTCAATTTTTTCTATCAAATTTTATCGTTGTTCACTTTGTTGCTTTTACAAGCTTCTTTTAATTAATTGTTTTTCAATCTCATGCTTCAAAATTAAACTGGTTGAGAATTAGGTTTCTTAACTGAATTCTAGTCAAAGCTTTCACGGGATGTGATTTTTAGAGACTAGACCAGGTAAGAGGTTTGTTGAGTTTGATTGGTTTTTTATCTTTATGTTTTTCTAAATTAACGTTTTCTCATTTTTTTATCCTTTTTTAGAAGTTTGTTCTATTATTTTTTTAGTTTAATTCTATTTGGTTCGCCCTTTATAATGTTCTTCTATTTCACCCCCTACTATTTTTTAATCTGTAAATAATTTATTATATTACAAATAATTTTTAATTTCACCCCCTATAATTTTTTAATCTTTCAAGTTTAGTCCTAATTTTTTTTTTAATTCAAATTTTTTTTGTTGGTGTTTTTTTATAAGTTTTTATATTAATATTTTTTTCTTGATATGATCTTTTAAAATTAAATTTTTTGCCATTTTTTTTCATTTTTTCAAGTTTTTTTATTAATATATTTCAAAAATTTCATTGTTCAAAATTAAATTGGCTAAGAGTTAAGTTTTTTAATTGAATCTAGATTTAGAATTTAACAAGTTGCAAGTTTTGGAGATTAACTTGAGTTTTTTTTAAAAAAAGCTTATGTTTTTTTATTATTATTTCTTTGTTATTTTTTATGATTTGTTTTTTATTAGGTTAACATTAGATTGTTTGATAATCCAAATATGTTCAATCTATTCTTTTTATCTTTTATTTTTTTATCAGTTTATTTATTGTTGTTGCGTTTTATTTTCATATTGTTTAGAAGTAATTACTCAAGATTTTGAATTTTTTTTTATTCTAATACTTTTTTTACACAGAATAAAAAATTTGCTCTACCAATAACAAGGCATGTTCGGGTAATAAATCTAGTATGACTTTGGTCCTAAAAAAAATAAAACTAATCTTATAGAATTCTAAATGTAAGAGAGCGTTAGTATCAAGTGCAAACCCATGATTCAAACATATTTTAAGGAATAACCTAGTGATTTTAGATGCCACATGATCCTTTTTTAAAATAATTATTGAATTCTCTATAATTAAAATTCTAAAAATATATATATTTCTTTAATTAAAATTCCTTTTTTTTAATTCATGTTCTTTATAAGAATTTTTTTTATCAATCATTTCTTCAGGTAAAAATTCAAGGCAATTAAAATAAATATTTCATGAGAATTGTAATGACTTAAATGAAGAGGAAGAAAAATATTCCTTTATCAAAACTTTCTTTCCTTATTCATGTATTTCTTTTTATTTTAACATAAACATCTTTTTTATTAGAAGCATGGTTTTTTGTATAAAAAATTTTCATGATTTAAAAGCAAGTTTCAATGATTTTTTTTTATAAGTTTAAGATGATTGTATAAAAATAAAAGAATAATTAATTTGAGAAAACTATATAAAAATTAATGGTAACAAAAAAATTATTTTCATTGAATATTCATGAGATTTTTTTTTTAAAATAAGGATATTAGATTCATACATAATTAAATATAAAATAATTATTAATATTACCATAAATTAAAAGCTCTAATCTTATTTGAAATTAAATTACAACAAAACCAAATGATTTTTTAAATATATTTTTGTAATTTTGTTGAAAAATAATTTTAATATAAATATAAATAAATAAAAGGTGAAGCGCCAAAAGAACCAAGCCCAAACTCACAAGCTTGTTTTACAGACAACATAATGCCCATTCAAGCATATGAAATGTCGTATGTCTATAACAAATTTCAACCACCAAAAATCGAAGTCTAGATGGTTCGGACCCAAAACCCAAGTTTTTATAATTGAAATATGAACAACTAAAACTACAAGGATCAAATATTAAAAAAAAAAATATAAGGACCAAAACATATTTTTCCGCATCAAAACACACCAACATTGTGAATGCACTGTGCTCTCTCTAGGTTAACAGAAAGTGGGCGTACAATAAAACAGTCACCTCTTTTAATTTATTAGTAATGGGATTAAAAAGAAAATAATAATTCTCATACACGTGCTCCTAAACTAGATTTTATTTCTTTACGAGTATATCAAACCACCTGCTGATTATGGCTTGGCAAGACATGCAAGTAAGAGCAGAGCCTTGCTGCTGATGAGACCGCTGCTGTGAAGCTATGGCCTAGGGAGGAACCATTCTCTTAAATTTCATAGCATCAAGGGTTGCTTCCTCATGATCTCATACATACTGAATGGCGAACAAATTGGCTTATAGAATACTTGCGCTGCATGACAATTCCAGAACACGTTGCGATCTTCATAGCTTGCAAAATTCCCTGCTGCATCCCTGATTTTAAGGGCTCTCTCCCATATTTGCCCGAAGAAGATAGCCATTACCCTTATGATGCTAACATTTTGTCCAGTCCTATTTTTTGCATGAATTACTCCTCTGATCCCAGGATTTAATATTTTATTGCCAAAGTCGAGCCAATAATACATGCACAAAGCCATCCTCATGTCTCATCGTTTCTGTACACTCACAGCTTCGAGCAGTAAAGTTTCTTATTCAACTTCTTCTATAGAATTGGATCTACATTCAACGGTAAACAAAAAGAAAAAAGCTTCCTATTGTGGAAAAACCATTTACAAGTGTGCATGTGCACAATAACGGGGGAGAGAACGCACAACATAAACACACCAGATGAGTAGCATGAGCCGATGTATATGCAGCAGCCTACTTCCTTGTTTGCACAACTACAGTTTAGATATGTTATTCAGTGCCGCTTTGCTAACGTTTTTTTCATTCCTTTGAAAATCTTCCAAAACCACATCAAATTCATGACAGATAGCACTACTGGCACTACTAGTGCCAGGAGTCGTCCAAAGGAGTGCATTTGCTTGACCTGTGGGGAGGGAACAAAAATAGCAATTCACGTGCAAATTTTAGTCGTCAAGGAAGCATTCACCTTTCCAACACAAATCATCAAACATTCATCTTAAATTTGTTGATCATGTCAATCTGTGAGAAATTACTATACTAGTAAAATGAGGTCATTCCTTCTCTTTTGTGTTCTTTTCAACAAGATTCTCTACGTTGTTATTAAGCTGTTTGGTATATGGCATGATGAAGCACGTCCTTAGATCTTACAGCAACACAAAACAGCTCCTTCCCATTTTAGAAGGCACAAAATGACCACTTCTATGACCTAATGAAAAAAGGGTTGCTTGCAACATGATGCAAATGGGTTGCTGCATTCATCAACCTGACTAAGCCTTGCATATGATCAATCTTTTAAGTTCTGATCTTATAGTCAACATTAAATTCAACTAGTTATGTTTTAAATCTGAGATTTTAAATTCTCATCAGTTATGCCTTCCAATTCTGCATAACAGTCAGAATCATAACATGGAGAAGTTTTGCAGGTATATTTATTACCTGATATAGGTGCAGGAAGACATGGTAAAACAGGTAGATAAACAAGAGTATCCTAGCAACCTGCACATAGTTTTATTGTTAACTAAGCATGTTTAGGAATTAGTAAGGTGAAATGGGTGTTTATTTCAATTCACAATTCACTTACAAACCAAGCGAAGAATATCACAACCCCATTTAAGAGATATGCTTTAGACTTCTTCATTCCAGCTGTGTCAAGATACCTTCACAAAACGAAGCTGAATCTCACAATCCATAACAAAATCACAATGGTTGGTCATTGAATCATTATAAAATACAAAATTACCATCTCAAATTGATTCCAGGAGTAGTTGTCTCAGAGATAAGAACCATGTAGGTGTAAAGCTGCCCCTCCCCAGTCAACATCGAATATGCCACAGCAACCAGGGAAAGAAAATGATGAATCACCTGACATGATTATGTTATCATTGTATCCATGATCAATTCCAAGTTTAGTAACAACTTCCTAGCTGACATGTCCTTTCAACTAGGTTGTGCTTGCAAAGGCATAATTAAACAAAGCTTGAGGAGAGAGGAAACACAAAGTATTGGGGTCAATTAATCTTTGCACACAAAATAATCACTTACATATTCCACCCCACCCAGAGAAGGATAAAACCAAATAATCATCCCAAGGTCAGCAATGAAATAACCAGCAGAAACCTGTCAATATCACATCAGAGAATGAGATAAAGGAAACAGGACACAGCAGAAAATGATATTATTAGGCAAACAAAAAGCAAGTCTAGACATGCGCATCCAGACTTTTGGCTAGACTAATCTATTGGGTAAAAACAGCCCCACCCACATACAGAAAATAAGTTTTGCTTAAAGCCACGGGAATGACCATCAAGAGGTTATTTGCAAGCAACGAAATTCCACCGTCAACAATATAAATGTATAAAGAAGGTGATTTAAGATTCAGAACCATGCCATCACTTCCTTGCATGTGTACCATAATGCAGATGAAAGAAGTTAGAGAGATGCTTGAAGACTTTTAATCTTATGCAGTAAAATCCATGTTTACAGAATTCAAATTCGAGAGAGAGCATGGAAATTCTTTGACAAGGATACATAAACTAAATAGCCTGGTTGACTTTTTGAATCCAATTTATGTGTTTAAAAGTTGAAAGATAATCTATGCTGTAAAGATTTGCAGTAACCAATAACTTAGAACATTTGCTTTGTTCTCCATTCAGAAGCTAATTAGCTAAAAGGGACTGGATATTTTCCTGTTGTTAAGTATTCAAGTGCAGGAGCTAACAAAAGCAGAACAATTGTCTTGAATCAAGGGTTGGGGGGGAGCTCAACCGGGTGTTCTTGAGAACATGTGGTCAAATTAGGATCTGAGGTAGAAAAGAGTGCTTTGTAATCTTTCAAAAAGCACATCAATATAACCATCACTTTCATCATTTTGCAACATCAAACAGTATCCATGGAACAATTCCCCAACAATTTGAAAAAGTTGTTCAGGCTATAGTGTGTTAAATATAATATCACCCTCAAGACACTGCAGCTCATTTGTATTGTAAGAAAAAGATACCAGTCTTTCCCATCTATTTGTGGTTTCCCACAAGACATTGCTCTGTTATTTTCAATGGTAACTGAGATATTTTAACATGTCTATACTATTAGGTCTACAATAAGGAAAATTTGGCCCTGATGCGCATGAAGTAAATGAAGTGTACGGAATCAAAGGATCAGCTAGTAAATATTCCTTCAGCAGCAGCTTCGCATTAATTTGGTATGATTTCATCGCCATGACAATCAAATTATCCCAGCACCAAGAGTAAAGCAAAATCCTCAATGCAATTCCACTTCCTCCGCCTAAAACACCGATTAACATTAGAAATTAATTAAAAAAAACACAAATTACATTATACAAACAGAAAATTCACGAAACTCGTGAGAAAGTGTCAATCATCCACTTGAGACAAGTAAAAAGAGTCAATAAATCATATATCAGAAGGCGATTTTCTTGTTCAGCCTAATTAAACGTGTCAATCATACACTTGAGACAAGTAAAAAGAGTCAGTAAATCATATATCAGCAGGCAATTTTCTTGTTCAGCCTAATTAATAATGATTAAAAAAACAAAACAAAACAGAGCAATCCTATTGTTGCCTCACTGCTACTCCTACTCCTACTGCTTCTCATTGATCAATTGTGCTTAATTTTTTGCAGAAAATAATAGTTAAAAAAAGAAAATAAGAACATCCTCAATCACTCCAAACACAGAGCACGTAAGAAGATTATCACGCAGTCACGAGTGTGTTGAACAAGGAAGTAGACATAAAAAAAGAAACAGAAAAGGACAGGTGTTTGTGAATATAAAGAAAAGAGAAGAACAAGGAAGGACGACTTTCCTTTGTGTTGTTGATGTTCTTACCTGAATCGAAAATCTCGCCGGGTGTTGCGGGCGAAATTTTATCGAACCGTTTTCTGTGTAAGCTTTTGGGTAACAAAGAGGGGGAGTCTTAAGTTTCGTGTCTTTATTATTATGTTTTGTTTTCCGATGGAATTCAATAATTAATTATTGTTTTGTTTAGAAGAGTTAATTAATTATTATTTAAAGGATGTGGAGTCGTCAGGTAGTGGTCAGTTTTGAAATTGCCATTAATTTTTAAAGTTTTTTTCAATTAAAAAATTATTTTTTTTATTTTTAAAAAATTATTTTTGATATTAATATTTTAAAATATCTAAAAACATTTAAAAAAATAAGTTAAAATTTAAAATTTTATTTTTATTTAAAAAAAAAAATATTAAAATTGACTCCCCAGCGATGCCTCAATTTAAGAAGGATCGGAGGGTTCGGGGAAGGATAACGTGTGCAGAGAAATGAGGGAAAGGACCAATTGGAGCTAACCCCCTGCTTGCGCGGTACGCTAACTTTTACTTTAATAAGCTTCCTACAGTGGACTTGGAATTTTCCGTTCTGCTTTTCATTGATTTTAATTAATACTCTCCTTTTCTTTTTTACTTTTCATTAATTCTTTATTTATATTTTAATTAATATCTTCTCTTTTTTTTTAATAATCTAATTTATCTTTTTAAATAGTAATTAATTTTTAATTTCTTTTTAATTTTAAAATGCTTCAAAAAAATTACTTAAATTTTTTATATTTTATGTAAACAAATTATGCAATCTTAACAACTCATGTTAGCTTATAAGATAAAAAAATTAAAAATATATAAAATAAAAAAGATAATACCAAATATTTTTATTTTTTAATTAAAAATAATAATATTTTAAAAAATAATATTTTTTATATTAAAAATTAACTTAAAATCATATTTAAAAAAAAACTCACATGAGATTAAAGAGTGTTTGAAAATGTTGGAAATATGATGTAAACTATATTTATTCACATGAGATTAAAGAGTGTTTGAAAATGTGGGAAATATGATGTAAACTACATTTATTTAAAATTTAAATAAAATAAATTATTTAATATTTTATCATTTTAATATTAAAAATAATTTTTAAAAAATAATTATTTTAATATATTTCTAAAAAACATATATTACACCATCATCACCTGCTATAATACCAAAAACACTTCAATAAATGAGTGAAAAGCCAACACAGAACACATGAGGCATTGTACGTTCAACAAGTCACTATTATAAGAAAGCGGCGTTCATTTGTTATCTATCTATCATAGAGCCATGGTTACACTTCTCTGTTCAGTGGTCCACGTTCGATTTTTTGGTTCTACCAGACCAACCTCATCTGTCTTCATTTCTTTTATTTCTTTTTTTTTTTCTAAAAAGAAGACAAGAAACAATAACATATATACACACAAACATAGCTATCCAAAAAGCAACCTTCACATGATGATGTATAAGAAGATTTCTCAATCACGCACGAGAAGCTGGGGTTTTTGTGGATATAATAAGTCGAATTATGATTTATAATTATATTTAATTTAATTTTAGATATTTTATAAAATATAAACCTGATCTAATTTATTTTTTTTTGAATTTGATGGGTTAGATATATTAGGTGGACAAATTTTTTTTTTTTGTGAATATTACAAATATCCTTAGGCTGGGCATGTTAATGTTTTTGTTCTTCGACAATCTTAAAAAAATAATTAGGTTGCAACTGTTGAAGCTAGATAAGACTTTTAAAATCTATATATTATAGACAACATAAAAACTATCATAATTTTTATATAAAAACAAAACAATAATTATAATTAAATATTATATCAAACAGATAGAGGTAATATAATATAAAGACAGACTAACAATAATAGATTATAGAATGTTTTTAGGTTGTGATTTAAATTGAAAAAATAAAAGTTTAATCTGAATTCTTGAAATTTTTATTTGTTTTCTCATAATTTTTTGGTTATCAAATAGAAAATAATAAAATTATAAAATACATTAACAAATCAAATTTTTTTAAAAATAAAAATTATAATTTTTGTAAATATAAGTAAAAGAGAGAAAGAAAAAGGAGTAAGAGGTAGTTGTGGTTATGAAGATAAGAAAAATAAAAAGAGAATAAAAAAGTATTATTTATACTAAGAACTCATGTTACTTATATTAGGTTATCCGAGTTGGTTGAAGATAAGTAGATTTTAAAAAAACTACTTATACCAGATAAGAAAAATAAAAAGAGAATAAAAAAATATTATTTATACTAAGAACTCATGTTAGTTATATTAGGTTATCCCAGTTGGTTCAAGATAAGTAGATTTGTGCTTAATTTTTTATATTTATTTATTAAGTTTTTGACCTACTATTATCTATATATAATATCTATATTATTTAATTTTGACATGTTAAGTTGTGTCGGATAATATAAATATTAAGTAATAGACTCTCTTTTTTTCTTTAACACCCCTAGCTAGAAAAACCCAAATGAGCAGCATTACAGGCACCATGGTCACCGATTGAACTTGCAAGCTAAATACCTATTTCATTCGATCTCAATATCCAAATTAACTTCAAAGAGAAAGTTACTCGAGCATACAACACAACAATCCCTGTAAATTCACCAGATAGAACATCCACCTTCAACTAAACCCATAAACATATATAATTATTATTTTAAATGTGCTTGTATTGCTTGGGCTTGGCCATATTTTAAATTCTTGACGGATGCCAAACGTTACCATCTTTTATGGTAAAAAAAAAAAAAAAGTAAAATAAAAACGAACCTATAAATTAACATAGTCGCTTTTATTCACCAAGGAAAACATAATTTTCAGCAATCTATATTATATATTGAATATGATTGAGGTGTGACAGTGTTGCTGTAAATACATAATTTCTGCAAAGCCAAGCGTGGGATTGGAGCACACGCGGAGCTGGGTTCGAAACAAAGTGAACAGTGGGTGAGAGACACTCTTTGTAAATACATTTGTAATTTGGAGATGAGAGGGAATGTGTTGAGTTTGAATTTTTCCAGCAGCAACAAGTTCTCGGAGAAAATGATAGTCTAAGTCAATATGCTTCGAATGTTTGTGAGACACTGGATTGGAACTGATGAAGAGAGCACTTTTGTTATCACAAAGGAGACTTGGTGGATTGGAGAAAGAAATACGAAGATCGCGCGAGAAGGAGATGCTGTATCCAAATGACCTCAGCAGCAGCGGATGCAAGGGTGCGATACTCAGATTTGCAGCTGGACCTAGAGACTATAGGCTGCTTCTTAGAACTCCAGGAAACAAGATTGGAACCAAGATAGATTGAGTAACCAGCCCAATCCGCATCGGAGTATGCAGTAATGTCAAAGGAAGAGCAATGATTTGAGGTAAGACCAAATTGAAGCGTACCCTTGACATACCGCAGGATTTGTTTGAGAGCATAGAAGTGCACCTCTGTGGGAGAATATTGCGAGAATTAGCTCTCAGTGTTTACAGCATGGGTGATATCAGGTCTGTTGATGGTCAAGTATTTTCAGTGCACCAACAAGCGATAGAGAGTAACGTCACCTGGAAGAGCACCAGCAGAGGTGAGTTGTTGCCCAACAATCATCAGTATGGCCACTGGTTTGCCTTCCAGAAGCTGTGCATGAGCAAGGAGGTCATGGGCATACTTAGCATGGCTGAGAAAGAGCTAGTGGTATTGGCTGTAACATCAAGACCAAGGAAGTAGCTTAGGGAGCCCGAATCTGTGGTGGCAAATTCTAAATTAATTTTCTGAATACTGAGTAAGTAGAGCAACATCATTGCCAGTGATGATGAAGTCGTCCACATAAAGAAGAAAATAAATTATGTTGCGCTGCTTTTAAAAAACAAAGGCAGGTGTATCGGCATGGCTGCAAAGGAAACCAAGCTGAACAAGGAAGGTGTTGAATCGTTGAAACCATGCGCAAGGGGCCTGTTTCAGACCATAGATAACTTTCTGAAGCTTACAAACATGTTTTGGAAAACGAGAATTGATGTAACTAGGTGGTTGTTTCATGTAAACATGTTCTGCAGACAGCCATTGAGGAATGCATTTTTGACATGAGTGAGTGCAATAGAGAGGACTACACAAACAGTGGATGCCTTGACCACTGGACTGAATATGTCATTGTAATCGAGGCCAGGAAGTTGATTGTATCCCTTTGCAACGAGTCTAGCTTTCAGACGTTCCACAGAACCATCAAACTTGTATTTTGTTCTGAAGACCAACTTGCAGCCAACAACATTGGACTTGAGAGGTCGTGGGACTAAATCCCAAGTGTTGTTATCATTGAGGGATTTGATCTGATCATCATACATAGCAGTCAACCATTCTGGATGCTTTGCAGCAGACTTGAATCCGCGAGGGGTGGAGGATGAGAGCAATGCAAGGAAAAGTCCTGAGTTGTGCTGACCAAGATAAGCTGGATGTCTGGGCTTAAACAAGTCTGCCTTGGCGCGAGTAACCATCGAATGGGTGGCAGGAGTGGCAGAGGAAGATGGTGTAGCTGAGATGGTGTCCGGGGGCTGCTGAATTTGGTCTGATGAAGCAGGATCAGTTGAAGATGCATCCTGCGAAACCTGCAATGGCTCAGCAAAGGTGGTAGCACAGACACGACAAAGAGTAGACTGAACAATCGATTGAGGTAAGGTATTTATTGAGGAAATGGGGGCAGTAGGCAGCGACGGGTTTGGAGTGGGGATTGGTGATTGAAATGATGAATAATCTAGAGAATGGAGGAGCCGCGAAGGGGAACTAGGAAACACAGGGAAATTGGTTTCATCAAACCGTGCATGATGTGCGATGCAAGCCTTAGAGGTAATAGGATCAAGACAACGGAAACCATTATGAGATGGGCTATAACCTATTTATGAAAATGCAAGGAATACTGCGGGGAGAATATTTATGAGAGGTGTAGTCACGCAAACAAGGAAACACTCGACAACCAAAAAGATAGAAAGTTATATATTGAGGAACCTTACCGTAGAGAACTTCGAGAGCGGAAATATTACCCAGAAATGGTGTTGGCAACCGCCTGATGATGTAAGTCGCAGTACTGAAAACGTCTACCTAATAAGAACTGGGGACATGAGAATGAAATAAGAGAGCAAGTCCCATTTACATGTCAGTGCTTTTGCTCAGCACGTCTATTTTAGGATGGTGTATAAGGGCATGACTTGATCTTGATGGTGGATTCCTAATGAGCAAAGATGAGATTGAAAATGAAGACTAGGAATTCAGAATTACCATCACTTTAAAAGATCTTAATTTTACATGAAAATTGGTTTTCAACAAATTTCTGAAAGTTAAGAAAAATGTCAAAGAAATCATATTTGAACTTCATAGGTATAACTAGTAAACCTAGAGTGATCGTAGAAAAACCCATGTTCGATATTACTCAAGCAGGTACCATATATCACAGTTAACAATGCTCAAAATATTATTAGGACATGATTATTTTTTAAAAAGTAGTTTTTATAAAATTGTTTTTAGAATTTTTTTATGTTTATTTATTATTAAAAAAATTATTTAATGAAAAATACTTTTCATTTAATGAAAAATACTTTTCAGTTAATGAAAAATTTAACCTGATTTTTAGAAAAGTATTTTTTTTTATTGTATTTATTTTCTGGAAAATAATTTCTAAGAAATCACTTTCTAAATTTTTTTGTGTTTGTTTGATGTTAGAAAGTTAATCAACTTATGAGAGGTGTAGTCACGCAAACAAGGATACACTCGACAACCAAAAAGATAGAAAGATATATATTGAGGAACCTTACCGTAAAGAACTTCGAAAGCGGAAATATTCCCCAGAAATGGTGTTGGCAACCGCCTGATGATGTAAGTCGCAGTACTGAAAACGTCTACCTAATAAGAACTGGGGACATGAGAATGAAATAAGAGAGCAAGTCCCATTTACATGTCAGTGCTTTTGCTCAGCACGTCTATTTTAGGATGGTGTATAAGGGCATGACTTGATCTTGATGGTGGATTCCTAATGAGCAAAGATGAGATTGAAAATGAAGACTAGGAATTCAGAATTACCATCACTTTAAAAGATCTTAATTTTACATGAAAATTGGTTTTCAACAAATTTCTGAAAGTTAAGAAAAATGTCAAAGAAATCATATTTGAACTTCATAGGTATAACTAGTAAACCTAGAGTGATCGTAGAAAAACCCATGTTCGATATTACGGAAGCAGGTACCATATATCACAGTGAACAATGCCCAAAATATTATTATGCCATGATTATTTTTAAAAAAATTATTTTTAAAAAATTATTATTTTTATTTATTATTAAAAAAATTAGTTAATTAAAAATACTTTCTAACCAATGAAAAACATTTTTCAGTTAAAGAAAAATTTGGTTTGGTTTTCAGAAAAACATTTTTCTTTTTAGTTGTATTTGTTTTCCGGAAAATAATTTTCAGAAAATCACTTTTCAAATTTTTTTGTGTTTGTTTGTTGTTAGAAAAGTTGGTTAATAAAAAAAACTTTCTAGTCAAAGAAAAAATTTGCTTGGTTTTCAGAAAAGTGTTTTCTTGAAAAATTTAGGCGGAAAACACTTTTCAGAAGTTGTGAAAAATTTAAAAATATCATTATTTGCTGATTATATCAAATTTGATCTTCAAACTTTTGAATATTTATTTTTGAATAATTTTGGTCCTCATTTTTATAATTGTTATTTGCTTTTCTCCTATTATTTTTTTATTAAATTTTTTATCTATCAAATTTGATCCTTTTTTTTTTAGTTGCTACTTATTTTATTTGAAATACTTTATGAAATGTTAATTATTATTATTTTAATTTCTTTATCTTTTTTTTAGATTTGATCTTTATTATAAAATTTTTTCCTCATTATTTTAATAAATTGTTAAAACTATAATATTATTAAACATTAAAAAAAAATTAATTTTTTTTTTAAAAAAAAATTCACATTTCAAGAAGAAAAAACTTTTCTGCATCTAAATAGAGCGTTAATAGTAGTTGTAAATGGAAGTTTATAACTTTTGGTAAGTTGACATGTAGAACAAAGAGTAGGGTTCGGTAATAACGAGGTTAGATGAAGCTGTTCTTTTTTATTTAATAAAAGATATAATGGAATACTGAACATGTCCACGACGTGCATGCCGCCATTCATAGGATGCCTTAAAGAGCAGATTTATTAAGGACAGATATAAAAGCAGCTTGACCACGCTCCAATACATAAAGACCATCATCACGCCTTCCAGTTGCCACCACCTGATTCGTGACGCGATTCTGAACAACAACAAAAGAAGAGTCAATAAAAATAACTTTGAAAGGGAAATCAGAAGTAAGCTTGCTGATGGATAATAAATTTTTGGTTAAGCGAGGAACAACCAAAACATCGAGTGAAGGTGGATCTAGGAAGGAACAAGAAGAACCAATACGTACGAGTGATTGGTAAGGAGGCCCCATCACCTACAATAACAGTGTCTTTGCCATCATATTGTTCAGAAGAATCCAGCGATGTCACATCTGGTGTCATGTGAGCAGGGGCACCAGTATCAAGGTACCAATCAGATGCAGAAGAGCCTGTGGTTGAAGAACAACTTTGGAAGGCTTCAGCCAGATGATGCAGAAGAGCCTGTGGTTGAAGAACAAGAACTTTGGAAGGCATCAGCCAGACGTGCTGAAGAATCTGTCCGGTCACAGCTTTTTTTGCATAGAGCAGCAGTATGACCATCAGACTTGCAAATTTGGCAATGTGGATTGCAGGCACGCCGATTGTGATTATAGCGAGGGGGATGGCGACTGCTGCTTCCAGCAGGATTATATACTGGAGGCCCTCGAGATCGACGATTTCTAAATTGATAACCACGGCCTGAGAAGTTTCGTGTGGCTGTGAAAGCTGCAGGGGCGAAAGAGTTTGATTCCAATGACTTCTGAAAAAGGACATAGCTTTCTGCCACGCGCGGAACAAGATCATGGAAGCGAGGTAGCGATGATAATGCCAATTGTGTTGAAGAGAAACCAGAAAAATCTGTACCAAGGCCACGAAGGAACCATTGAGAATTGTCAGTTTCATCCACTGGACGCCCAATGGCCAGCAGCTGATCACACAAGTTTTTGAAGTCTCCAGAAAATTCAGCAACTGTTTGTGAGCCCTTCTTCATAAGTGGCAGCTCAACCTTCAATCTTCTCTCACGTGTTTTTGATCCATGACTGAAAACACGTTCAAGAGCCAGCCAAACATCACGGGACGTGGTAAGTCCAAGCGTGACAGCCATGGCTTCTTCAGAGAGGGAGGAAAGAAGTAGGCTGAGAATTTGTTGGTCCTTGGCTTTCCATTCCAGGAATTTTGGATTTGTTGATGAAGAATTCTCACTGGAAGCAGTCGGCTGTGACAGGGATCCATCAACAAAACTTAGGAGGTTTTGATAATCAAGAAGGGGAATGAGCCGGCTCTTCCAAAGCAAATAATTAGTAGCTGAAAGTTTGATGGTGATCATATGGACAATGGTATTGAAAGAGAAGGTTTCTGCCATTACCAAGAATGAAAAAAAGAAAAGAAAAGAAGATGACAGATCGATAGATTTTAATCCATGGCAGCTCTGATACCATGATAATGTTGCTGTAAGTAACTAACAGCTGATCTATTTATATGGAAACACAGTGAATTTATAAAAGGAAAGTCTACAATAAATTAAATGAATACAATCAATCTGTAGTTATGACTAATGCCTAGCGGAGTTCATTGACTAATTTACAGGTTTCCTTTTCCTTCAAATCACATTGGTAAAAAGTACATGAGAAATTAGATTAGATGAATGTTATGAAAATAGAAATTAATTCCCAATTAAAAAAAAAATCGGTGATCCGTAGCAATGCTAGAGATCATAACTACTTATTTCTTGAAAATAGAAGACCCTATGGGGTAAATAGAAAGGAAGAAAGGGACGTTGTAGTTGGTGATGGTATTATAGATTTCTAGCAGCAAATTGAATGTTAAAAATTGCAAAAAAGGTGTGATTTGGAGAGGAGGAGGGAGTCGAATATATATACAGGGAAGAGGTCTTTATTATTCAACAAGAACAAATGCAACTCTTTCTAGGTTTTCTCCTCCTTTTTTAGGACATTTCTTTCTTAGCTGTAATTAACCGCTACAAATGCAACTCTTTCTAGGTTTTCTCCTTCTTTTTTAGGACAGTTTTTTCTTAGCTGTAATTAACCGCTTGAAATAGCATTTTCTTTCCTCTCTTTCTTTGTTTTTTTTTTAAATCAATCCCCCCCTTTTCCCACAGTAATTCTAGATTTATTGTAATTATTATGATGATTTTTTTTGGCATTTATCTAATTCATTTAGTATTTTTCTTAATCTAAGGCTGTTTCTTTTGTTTTATCTCTTTTTGAGTTTCTTTTTGCTAAAAATAGTTTTATATAGATTTTTCACATGAAACATCTCGCGGATTTTATATATATATATATATATATATATATATCCACACAAAAATTCCACGTATGAAATTAACACAAAGAGAGTCTCTCAGGTTTCTCTCATCTCTCTCTTTGTATACCTAGTCTACTTATAGCTACTTTTTTTGCTCATCTCTCTCTTTCTTTCTATCCCATATCTCCTATCTCCTTTATTTTTATCTTTCAATCTCATGATCTTCTCTTTTTTTATTCTACAATTATAGTGGATATGTTCTTAAAGTCTCATATTTATTTTGATTCCTCTTCTTCTTTGACACTTCACTCTCTCTTTTTTTTTTAAATTTTTCTATTTCTTTGACACTTCACTCTCTCTTTTTTTTAATTTTTCTATTTTTTTATATTTTTGAAAACATACTAGAAAAAAAAATCAAAATATACAAAATTGTTGATAAATCAGTTTTCAAATCTTTGTTGAAAAAAAATATCAAATGAAAGATCAAGGAAACGTAAGTATTATCGGTGGATTATCGAGAAAAAAATATGTTATCTAAGCGCTTTTAATTATATGACATTTAAACTCATTTCATTTTTATATATATTTATTTAGAAACTAATTTTGATTTATATATATTTATTTAGAAACTAATTTTAATTGTACATTGATTAGTTCTAAATCTAGATGTAAAAATCTTTTTTCATTTTTAATTGAAAGAAATTTATATCTTCCAGACAAAACAAGAACAACTGCAAATGCAAAAGAAGTGAGAGCTGGCTCATGTCGAGGGACACGTCAGAAATTTATGAGCAATTGGCCAAGCAGTAGCACTCGTCACAAATAATTTTTTTATGCAAGTGTTACCGAATTTAAATGTATTTCTAGGGCCTTTTGATTCCGAAACAAACCATCAAAACTGGCCTGTTAGTTAAAAAGATGAAGTAAGAAATTAAAAGAGCTATTGGTCACAAGGATCTTAAGTTTCTACATTGATTTTTCAAGCCACTACGAGATATATTACAACGTTCATGCTGCTATGCACAGAAAACCTAGAAAATTTGTTGTTAACGATATTGATGAGGAACGCCGTTTAAAAAAAAAAAAAACTCAAAGAAGTCTCGTGGGGTTCCTTGGAAGGGGAAAAAAAACAATGGCGAACGCAAGTTTTAGCGCTTGCTCCAAGCCTTGCGTGTTCCACCACGTTTTGGAGAAGATGAGAACGAAGAAGATGATGAGAGGACTGATCTATTTTTCTCCATGTCCTTGTTAAATGCCATCTGTACATCCTCTTTAAGTTCCAGGAAGCGCATCTTCTTCGTTTTCTGCTCTGCAGGAGTACCCTTATCTAGGTAGAGAGCATCAGGCACATCGTCATCCAGAAACTTGTCAAGAACTTCTGAGCAATGCGGGAAATAGCGCCGTCCCATCTCCACTGCCATCAAAGAAAAATCAGAGAACGCATCATGCAAATCCTGTTTATACATATACTAACTTAGGCCTATCTACTTCAAGTTGCATTTGATTAATTATTAGGGTCTTAGTGTTCATCTCGACCGATTTTAAGGATTTAATCCATAATCATTGCCCTTAAAATAGCTTTTTTTCAGTAATCCCCCGAAGTTTCGATTTCACAAATGTCTTGTGAGTTGTCAAAGAGAACGTTCTGGGAACTAAAATTTCCCAAAAATCTATAATATTCCCATTCATGTTGGCTTCATGAGAGCATATTTGAAACCTTTTTTCTTATTCGCTAAGGCGACTCTTTATTATGCCCCGTGTTTAGACCCGGCACTCATCCACTTCATGTATCGTTTTTAGGATTATTTTAGAACCTCAGCACCGCAGATGTGATACCTGAAGACTCTAACCAGAAAGATGGATCCGCAAAATCAGATGAATATGGCAGGATCCGTAACCGATTTCTCTGACATACTCGTCTTAAGACATTTAAGGTAAGAAGACAGCGCACTAGGAAAATCTTGTAGCTTGACTTCTAAACTGGGAGTCACGTACTGTAGACTTGACTGGAAAAAAAATTGGAGTTTCTGACAATGGCAGTAAATTATACCTGTTTTACGCAGTTCTTGTAGTCTCAACTGGAGTCTTTTGTCTTGAGCAGAAGTTGTCTCGTTCAAATCAACCTCCCTTGTGTCCCCACTTGAGCCTTTTGATTTTGACGCTGGAAGGCCAGTGTACGTTGAGGTTGAATCTGCATTTGCCATGTCCTTAGCTAGCCGGGCCTCAGCAGGAAAAAACAACCGTGCAAACGCCACTGCAACACAGTAGATTGGCATTTAGCACTTACTTTGACGACATCAACCAAGGATTTAAAGTGCATTTTTCTCAAGAAGTAACAGATGACAGAGCTGGGGCTAAACTAGTGTACGTGTGCCCAATGCCTCAAGGCCCGAAATCATGGCTTGCCCTACGGTATCTTTACAAATGTCCACGTTTGTGTTCTTTCTTGATTGGAAGTGAACTTGTACTTCTGAGCAGTAAATTGAACAACAAAAATTATAAGGATGCTGGCACGTACGTAAAAGAATGAATAAAGAGTAAAGTAGAAAATTTCTGGACAATTGAGACTAAAACTATGGTTTGCCTGAAAAATGTTCAACAAATTATAAAAACATGCTGCTGCCGAAATTCTTTTCAAACTATTACGAAGATGCAAAGTAACCAGTGCCAATTACCCAAATTTGTGGTGCAAAAAAGTGAATGTATGATATCTTCAGCACTGGCGACAGGAAATTGGATGATACGGATAAAGGTTTATCACCTCTATCTTCCAGGTCGTCCGGCTTCATGTTCAAATCTGGCGATATCATCGACATGTTTGCAGATATTGAAGTCCTGCGCATCTCTCTCTCCAAGATTTCAATGCATATCCTGTCTTTGTTAGATTCTTGGCCTTGTTTGGTGTTTGCATTATAATCCTTTGGCCTAGTCAAACTACGCCAGATTGAAACTGCATTTCGTCCATCCATTGTAGTTTCTGATGCACGGGCACCCTTAGCTAGTAGTGCCACAAGGATTGATGACTCCTTGCGCCTTGCAGCCACATGAAGTACTGTATATCCCCTGGAGTTCCTAAGATTGAGATCAGCCAAGCCTAAAGCAAGAACTTCCTTGACAACCTTAGGATCGCAGTAGGAAACAGCGTAATGGAGAGCATGAGCATCATCCAAGGTAAAATTAGATTCACTCAAGAGAAGCCGCACCAGTTCAACATCATCTGACTCCAAAGCCTTGTGGATTCTACTCATTCTCTTTTCACGCACGGGGTCTTCCTCTTCAACGCTACTTTCAGCTTCTTCCAGAGATTTTTTGCGCAGTAATTTAACCTTGCTTGAAATTTCATGAGGGAGCTCCTTGTCGATGCATACACTATCAAGATCTGACCTTACAAGTCTTTCGATGCAGTGAGAGAGAAGCTGGTCTAGCTGGCAGTGGAAGGCAGCCATAGCAATTGGGATTACATCTTCATCAAGAGCCTTGTCGATAAAACTCAGGAGACGCCGCTGCAAGGGTAATTTATATGTTGAATAATATTACTAATAAAAATAAGATTATCCTGAAAATCCATGAAAAGAAAAGGAAACACACATTTGATCTAGCAATTCAGCGAGATGTCAATTATTCCATATTTATGAATCACTGCAAGTTAGGATATAGAGGAAAAAACTAACAATTTATCCATGAAAAATAACCTTAACAACAATCGGAATCACAGCTTACCTGAAAAAGCAACACAAGCTCTTTCATCTGAAAAGTGGCGGAGGCATACATCAATTCCACTGCATAATTAATAGCAGGGCGGCAAGCATCATGGGCACAAGCCCCGTAAACACATTGTGACACTTCTGGCGGAGACGACTTATGCTTTCCGGTATACAAATAATGCAAAAAAACATTAAAGGCTTCATATCCAACCCCACCATAAGGCATCAAATCAGACATGAGGTACCTTGGTTTATCTCCACTTGTCGAATTACCATCTACCTTCATAAAAAGCTCATGAAAGAACTGACTACGAGCAGCCAATATACACCTATGGACACCTACAGGGATGCCCTCAACAACAATTTCTGCATCGCTGTAATCATATTCCCCATCAAGTAATAGCCTTTCCAGATTACCACTAAGCTTGCTTAAGCTCAAGTTTTCAAGGTTCACACCAGGCTCGGGAACATCTGGGAATGGTACGCGGTGGCTGCTTGGCCCTTTCGATAAATAAGAAGATGAATCAAAACTAAAAGAAGATGTCGTTTCAATGGCATTTTCCATGATTTTGGATCTAAACTTCCCTAGTTAAGCCGAACAAGCACTTCAATTTATCAAGAAACATGGAATTGACAGTATGAGAGTGTCAACTTCGAAGGAATGGCCACACAAGAATATTGTTGACTAAAAATAGCCATAAATAGATAGCTATCTTTAATCAGACAGAAGTCATGATAAAACCAGGGTATGGTAATTAAAAAAATGTAAAAAAAAAAAAATTGTTTTAAAAGAAAACCCAGATAACAAAACAGAACAGATATGGTCAAGAGCTGTGACAAAAAAGAAAGGGACAGCAACCAAAGAAACTAATTACACAAAGTCATTTCACTCGAGAAAAACTCAAAACTTGCACAAAAACATTGAAAAGAAGCTAAACCGAGATGAAGCCAAACCCTGAAAGAGCAGATACTCGAAGGAAAGATCAAAACGCAAAAAGTGAAGAAAACAAACTTTGATTCATTTAGAAAGAGATGAAAAAACAGCTCGGGATGAAGAACTGCGGACAACAGAGGTTATCGGAGACCTTGTAGTTGAATTGCTAATTTGCTTGCAGTTGATTAAGCAAATTTTGGGTAAAAAAATACGTAAGAGGCGAGTTTAGACAAGATTACTGTGATTCGTATAGGTGTTTGCAATTATTATCAGCTATGGATCCATATATTTCATGAGATCTAAAGTTGGAAGCTATACACACAGATCAAAAAAAGAACAAATGCACGACGTTTGATTTGCAATATTGAATTTCTTTTCTTTCTTTTTTTGCGACTACCCCTGCACGCAAGAGCCTGCTAAAGAAAATACTTTATGCTCCACTGCCGAAAAAATTCCTCGCTGCCTTCGCTTTCTTTCTTCCATTATCTTAAAAAATATAAAGTTACTTTAAAAATGAGCATTGTTCTGTATCAATCATATTTCAGGGAATGAACTTATAGAACAGCAGATTTGAATCGGATTGTTGGCTATGTACATGGACGTTCATAAAGATATATGACGGGACATCATTCTCCAGACTCTCTTCTTCTTCTTTTTTTTTTTTAAAACTTAAAATATTAATTTTAGAATAATCATAAAAGAATTTTTATAGCAGATCGTATTTTCACTTTTTCCTTATAATTTTTGGAATTACGAATTAATTCAAATCTTTAAATCAGACAAAATGATTAAATCACCGTCATCTATAATATGTCATAAATACCATAATTTTTTTCCCCTTTTCCGTCAGCACTAGCCACCACCTTTCTCTTTTTCTCTCTTTATTGTATAAAGATAAGCCGATGCAAATCGATGCATCTATGATCCCTCACCGGCCACCATCAATCCCAATCTCATTCTCAACTCACCCATGGATTTTGCCCATTAATCAATTATCATTCATTCTTTAATGGGCATGTCATCTTCTTTCATTGAAGAAGCGGGCGGACAGCAGAGAACTAGAACCATATCCTTCACATTGGGTATAACAAATTTGTTTTGTTTTAGGTATAAGCATTTTGCAGAAAGTTAGGTCTGTGGGTTTGGTGAAGAATTGCTATATTAATTGGTTTGGTAAATCCCTAGGTGTTCTAATTAAATGTGTCTTCTTCTTTTTTAATCGATATTGAATATAATGTTGCAAAGAATGATTTGAATGAAAAACATAAAAAGGTGACCGAGAAGATACAACAAATTGCAATGAAGAAGAAGAAGTTAGAAATGGCGGTTTGGGTTTTTTGGTTAAATGGCAAAGTTGTAATAATAATATCACAAGGGATTTTTAGTCATAAAATCAAATACAATCACAAACTTGTAAATATTCAAAATAGGTTAAGAATGTAAATTTTTATTTAACACAAAAATATAATTTTTAAAAGTATAAAAAGGAAGTGAAAACGTGTTTAAGTTATATAAGGTTTTTTCTAGTTATATTTTATAAAATATTTTATAAGAAATAAAGATGTATTTGTCATAATATCATTTGATAAAAAAAAAAAATAATATCATTTGATAAAAAAGAACCTAAAATGTATAAAGTGTTTATGTTAAGCTGACATTATTTACCCATTAACAAAACAATGTGTATGGTATTGAGTATTTTTTAATAATTCATCTTGGTCTTCAAATTTTTATGTTGCACAATTTGATCCTAATTTAAAACTAATTGCATCCGAATTCTTAGTCGATAGTGAAATTAAAAGGAGGACCAAAATGAAAAGGATATCAAATATGAGTAGCATGCCAGAGATTGCATGAAAAATACACTTTGATTTTTTATCTTTAAAGTTAATGTAATGTATACAATTTAGATCCCCTTAAATTTTTTTTAAAAAATCAATTTTGATACATAAATTTATTTGTATTATATCAGTTCCTGGTTGGATAAAGGAGAAAAAAAATTGTTGAAATTCAACGATATGAGAGAAACTCATCATTTACCCCATTTTTTGCCATTAAAAAGGGTTTTCTTAGTGTCCATAGGTTCCATGTGATGAGAGGAGCTTCATGATAATTGTTTAGAATCTCGATATTTCATGAAAAAAACATATTTAAGTTGACAAAGCCAAAATTAAATCAGTTTGATTTCGAGTTTTACGACATTTTTTAGTATTTGGAGTTGATGAAATGATTTATGGGTATTAATAAGGTGTTTATGGGTTAAAATAGTTTGAAAATCAGTTTTTATTCTAGCTACCACTAATTTGTTCCCTTTTTTATTTTCCACTTGCAAAGCAGCAAATATATACATATAGAGGGAGTTTTACTCTGTTAAAATTCCAGTCTTTTGTTTTATTTTTCAGTCTAAGGTTGTGTCTTCTCTTTACTACTGGGTGTTACTATTGCTAATAGTGGGTGAAACTCCTACTAGGTTTAAAACTAATTTGTTCTCTCTTCGAGTTACCACTTGCAACGCAACAAAGATATATCTATAAAGGAAACTTTGTTATGTTAAAGTTCTATGTCTCCTTAAATTTTTTCTTCATTGCTAGTTGTAATTGCTATTACTTGAGGGGCTGTTTGGTGATGATTTAGGAGTTATCTTATGGTGACTTAAAACTAGATTTTTCTAGTATGAAAAATAGTTATTTGGATGGTGTTTTAGTGGCTAAAACTTGTCTGATTTGGGGTTTGTTATAAGGTGTTTTGGACTTGAGTTTTTATAGCTTTTTGAAGGTGATTTTGTGGGCCATTTATTAGTTATGATGGTCACACTTGGAAATAATAGAGATGAGGCTATAAAGAGTTGTTCTTGTTTGTGTTTCAGGTTGGAAAAATTAAAAAAAAAAGGTTGTTACAATCATGGCTAAGAGATAATGTTTATAATAATGCTCTCTTCTCCCCCAAATTCTTTAATTTTTTTAACTGTTGGGTTAAGGTTTTTAAACTATTTTATATGAAAAAAGAAAAGGATTTAGAGTCTATAAGCTAGGATATCTTAAACCATTAATGTCTGGGAGGAGATCATGGCTATTAACATAAGCTAAGGATAAATGTTTGTTTAGCTCTATAGTTGGTAAATAGAGAACACCGTGCTATTTTTACAAGTGGGAGTAGTGTTTTTTGGGAAAAAATTTATAGGTGGTTTAGTATAATTAGAGATAGAATTTTTTGTGTAGAGTGAAGTACAAGTACTAAGATATAAGTTGACATAATATTTGTGTTATATGGTGAAGAGGTGAGGAAAAAATTAGGGCTGAAAGAAAAGCATTTAGGCATCATTTTCTTTTATTTTAATGAGAAAAAGACAATGAATAGTTAAATTATAGTCTTTTTTAATTTGATCATTAAACCTTTAAAACTTTTAAATTAAGCCCCTAATTAGGCCTTATCTTTCGTATTTTTTACAATTTTATCCATAATATTCTTTAATTAGACCCTTATATTTTTTCTTTATTTACAACGTGGTATTTGGTCTTGAAATTCTTCAATTTGACTCTTAATCAACCTTTAATTTTTAATTTTTTTTTCAATTGAATCCTTGATTGCAATAATTTGGCCTTTTCAAGTTTCAATTGTCTCTAATTTTTTAATTTTTGTAAATTGATGCAAATTAGACCTCCAAACTTTTTTTTTCAATTAAATCCTTAATTAAATAAAGTATACCTATCAAAACTTAAGTTTTTGATCTTAATTCTTTTGATTTTAGTCAAATTGACTTACTAACTGAATTTTACTTTTGATTAAGCCTTTGATTAAATCAATTATGCTCCTTAAAAGTTTGATCAAGTCCTTAAACTTAATGATTTTGCAAGTCTAACCCAATCTCCAATATCTTTCTTTAAATTGATCCCAAGTTCTCGTTGTTTTGTTCTATTATACTCTATATTATTGTAATTGGGCCCCCAACCTTAACCACTTAGTTCAATTTGATCCTTTAACCTTCGTTTAAGTCCCCCGTGTCCATTTTTCATTTTTTTTGGATAGTTTTGGGGAATCAAAAATTAGATTATGACAATAAATATCACTCATATATGATATTTTTGTTTCTTATTTAATCTTTTTTTAGACAAAGATTGTTCTTTGATGGTGTAATGCATATTTAATTTTTAAAAAGATTATTCTAATTCATCTATGAATTTTTTTTATCTTTTGTATACAAGAACTTTATTTTTTTAAATAAATTTTTTTTATTCTTATATAATATTTATGATATGTCCAACCTTGCATGATACTTTTTTCACTTTTATTTTATTTAATTAATTTAATATGTGTGTCTATTTTTAATATCATTTGATTGAATAAAAAATTAATTTTAATAAATAAATTCATTAAACACAACCGAGTAAATATTTCATCTTGATTTTTCCAGTTTTATTTTTAGTTAGCGTTAATACCTTGTTTTTCATTTACTAACTCATATAGTTTTCAATTTATTTTATTACATGCATACATGAGCTTTTCAATTTACATTTAATTTTTTTTTGTACAAAAATGTGTCAAAAAGCTTGCATGTATAATTCCTTTATAAGAGAAAAAAATATTTAGCCTGTGATGGAGTGTGGGTTAGGTGGCTAGAAAAGTAACTAAATCGAGAAGCAATTTACTGTGTAATCTATCACAATTCATTGTAGACTGGAGCAATGCATTTCTTTTTTTTTCTTTTCATTTTGATGTTATAACCTTTTTTCTCTTTAATTTGATCTTTTGATGGCCAAACTAGTCGTTATTTGCTTGTAATTTATAAATGAAAGGTAATATTAAAAGATAAAGGATTAAAGTGAAAAGCATAAAGAAACTAAGTGGTTGTTTCAAAATGTAGGTGAAAAGTTAACTTAGGTTCCCTTACTTTCTAGTTCATACATTTTCAA